GAGGAGTTATTCTTTTCCTTTGGGGAGAGCTTTCCCATATTTCTTGTAATTCTGCGGTGACTTCTAGTCATCTGATGGATGGTGTGTTTCTTCCTAATTCTTAAAGTTCAATCACACTAGCTTGTTTGCTGGAGGCTGAATTATTAGTAGAAAGTCTTCATTTCTTTTTTACCCTGAAATCTTTCTGGTAGAATCTTTATTATTTCTTTTCTCCTGGCATTTTTTGTTGTTGTTTTTCAGTTCCCTGAGACATGATGTTAGCTTGTCCATTTGCCAACTTTCCATCTTTTCCTTATGTGCCCTAATTGCTATGAACTTCCCTCTTATGACTTGTGGTATCCCATAGATTATGGAAACGTGTGTACTCATTATTATTTGTTTCCATGAATCTTTTGATTTAAGTCTTAATCTCTTCAGTAGTTGTGACATTATTTAAAAGTAGGTTATTTAGTTTCCATGTATGTGTGCATTTTCTAGGGTTTTTCCTAAAAAAATGATATAAAATTTAAATTCATTATGGTTGGAGAAGATGCTGGATATATTTTCTATGCCTTTGAATCTGTAAAGGCTTGTTTTTCATCCTGTGATGCGGTCAGTCTTTGAGAAGGTACCATGAAAGGGTGAGAAACATTTTCTTTTTTGTCTGTGTTTTTTTGTGTGGAAAGTTCTATAGATGTCTGTGAAGTCCATTTGGTTTAGGGTATCATTAGGTCCTAACTCTCTTTGCTTATTTTTTGTCTCTTTGATCTATCTAAAGCAGATAATGGGGTGTTGAGGTCTCCAACAATTAGTGTGTTTCCTTCTATCTCTCCTTTTAGTCTTTCCTTCATATATTTGGCTGTTCCTGAATTGGAAGCATAGATGATAATAAGCATTACATCTTCTTGATGAATTAGCCCTTCTTTGTCTCTTTTTACAAGTTTTACCTTAAAGCCTGTTTTGTTCAAATCAGTATCAGAACTCCTGCTATGTTTTGGTTTCCATTTGCATGGAATATCTTGGAAAAAAGATATTCCATGGTTCACACCGTTCACTATTATTCTATATATGTTTTTATTCCTGAGGTGTGTTTCTTGTAGGCAAAAAATGGAGGGTTTCTGTTTGTTTTAATTCATTCAACCAGTCTGTGTCTCTTGGTTGGAGAATTTAAACCATTAACATTCAATGTTGGTATTGATATTTCCAGACTTGTCCCTATCCTTAAGCTGGCTATATTCTTGGTTGTGTTTTATTCTCTTATTTCCATTTGTTTGTCTTTAGTTTTCTTGGTATAGCACTCGCTTCAGAATTTCTTGAAGAGCTGGTGTGGAGTTGGAAAATTCTTTCAGGTTTTGTTTATCCAAGAATGTATTTATCTTTTCTTCCCATATGAAAGGTAATCTTTCCAGGTATAGTAATCTTGGTTGAAATTGTTTTTCCTTTAACACTTTGAATATATTTCCCCAATTTTTCCTTGCTTTCATTGTTCAGGGAGAGGTCCAATGTTAGCCTTATGGGATAACCTTTGTAAGTAAGTTAATATTTCTCTCTTGCCAATTTTAGTATCTTGTATTTGTTGTTTTGCCAGTCTGGTTATAATGTGCCTTGGAGAAGATCTTCTTGGGTTGATTCTATTTGGGGTCCTTTGAATTTCTTGGGTCTGTATGTTTGGATGGTTCTCTAGGCATCCAGGATTTCATGTAATCGATTTTCAATGCCTTTATCAGCTTCTTCACCTTCTGAGATACCAGTTATTCGGATGTTTGGACATTTAATGGACTCTAGCATTTCTCATATATTATCCTAATTTTTAAAAATTATTTTCTCTATCTTTTTGGTGTTTTATTTTTTCCCCTAGATCAGGGATTTTTGTCTTCTACATCAGAGGTTTGATCTTCTGTATGATCTTATCTACTTTTAATACTTTCAAGGGAAGTTTTTATTTCTCATATCATCTCTAAGGGCTCTATTTGATTTTCTTATAGTGTCTATTTCTTCTTTGAAACCATAAAGGACTTCCTTATCTCCTGTAGCTCATTGTCTCTTTTCTCTTGCATCTTCTGGAGTTCATTGTCTCTTTTCTCTTGGATCTTGTTAAGTTTTGCCACTATGAATATTCAGAATTGTTTATCTGACAGTTCCATGAGCTCTATTGTGCTGTCTGTGAATGATTAGGAGTTGTTATTTTACCTGGGGCAGGAGATATATTCTTGTGGTGGATTCTGGTTTTTTGATGGATAACACATTTCTTCTTAATTTCTTAGAGTTAATATTGAGTGTTCAAAGTTGTGCATTTCCCTGTTGCTTACCCTATAACTTGTACTTTTGTTGCTGGGATTGGGTGTTCCAAATGCCTCCTAGATTCTAGAGAAAAGATGCACCTGGGGTTGACCTACAGTGTTTCTTTCTTTCTTTCTTTTCTTTCATTATTTTTTTTTTAGAGGTTTTCGCTATAGGTCGCATGTGCTCACCAGAAAGAAAGAGAGAGACAGAGAGATAGAAAGTGAGAAATCACCCCTCAGGGGGGATGGCCATGCCGCAATCCCTTCTCCTTCATTCTCCTCTTGGGATCTTGGGCACCATGCACACGCGCCCGGTGTGAGTTTAAGCCGCCGGGTCCAGGACTTGAACCGTGGTCGACTAAGTGGGAGTCCAGTCACATAGCCATTACGCTAACTGCTGGTCCCTTTTTAAATTTTTTTCAAGAGGTTTTTCCTATAGGGTGCCTGTGCTCACCAGAAATGTAGAGAGAGAGAGAGAGAGAGAGAGAAACAGAAAGCAAGAAATCACCCTCTGGGGGGGGATGGCCATGCTGTAGTCCATTCTTCTCCATTCTCCTCATGAAATCTTGGACACGCACACACACATCCAGCGTGAATTGAAGCCACCGGATCCAGGACTCGAACCATGGTCGACTACATGGGAGTTCAGTGACATAACTATTACGCCAACTGCTGATCCTGAGGTGCAGGGTTTCAACTGAGAAGTGCTGTGTGCTTCAGAGAACTATCAAATCTGTGTGGAATGGGAGAGAGTGATGCTTCTGAGGTGGTCTCTGGCCTCGGTCCACACACTCGCTTCTGCCGCACAGGGGCCAGGGAGAATGGTGGGGCAGAGGCTGGAAGCAAGAGGGACTGGCACCTGGACCAGATGAATAGCATGTGCAGAATCCCCGGGGCTCTGGCCTTGGCCTGCATACTCCCATATGCCACGCAGGAGCCACAAAGAATCCATCTCATCTCATTATTCTTACAGAAATTCAACAATTCTTGAATAAGTGCTCCTTGAGTTGCTGCAAGCCTTCGGTTAAATTTCCAGAGTTCAAAATATTGATTTTGGCTTTATTTATTTTGCCATTTTTGTTGTAGCTTTTATAGAGGGATTAATTTTCAGAGGTCCTTAATTATTAATTTTCACTGATGTCACCTACAACATGGTTTTAAATATCTAAAATCTCAATACCGTAAGCTACTTAAATATTTAATCAGGTTAGGGGGAGGGCCCAGTAAATGATGTGATGGTTAAAGCATCAGACTCCCACATGGCTGACTGTGGTTTGAGTCCCAGACACAGTGGTTTGCTTTCTCTTTCTCTCCTTCTCTGTCTCTTTTTGGTAAGCACACATGTCCTATAGCAAATTAAATACTATCAGTAAGAAGAATAAATAAAATGAAAATAAATAATTCTTTAAAAAATATTTAATTGTGGGAAGTAATTAGGGAAATAAAAAGAGAACGTTGAACTTTATTTCTCAGAAAGGCTCTTCCAAGATGAGTAGACAAAGTTTGAAAAGGTATTTCTGGGACCAGCAGTTGGCATAATGGCTGTGTCGCTGGATTCCCATTGTAGTCGACCGCGGCTTGAGTCCTGGACCCAGCGACTTAAACTCACCCTGGGTGCATGCCCAAGATCCTGAAAGAATGGAGGAGAAGAGATTGCAGTGTGGCCATCCCCTCTGGGGGATGATTTCTCGCTTTCTGTCTCTCTCTGTCTTTTTGGCAAGCGCACACTCCCTGTAGCAAAACACCTCTCCAAACCAAAAAAAAAAAAAAAAAGAAAAGGTGTTTCTATATTTATTCCTCCCCAAATTAAGTTTAAAGTAGCAACTACTTAAAATCCCTTTTCTTCATACAGGTTAAACATAGGCTTTTGAGTCAGAACTGAGCTCAAAATCTATCTTTGCATTTTGGAATAGATTTTCATAGAAAATGAATTTATTCATTTTATTTATTTATTTATTTATTTATTGGAGAGTTTTTTTGCTATAGGGTGCGTGCGCTTGCTAGAAAGACAGAGAGAGACAGAGAGACAGAAAGCGAGAAATCACCCTGCAGGGGGGATGGCCACGCTGCAATCCCTTTTCCTCCATTCTCCTCTTGGGATCTTGGGCATGCATGCACACGCGCCCAGTGTGAGTTTTAAGACACTGGGTCTGGGACTTGTTACATACAGTGTAACAAAAGCTGTGACGTGGTGCGAGAATACACAGGAGAGTATGTGATGGGAGGAAGTATCGCTTCGACTGGTCTTCCTGTTAGACCTATTCCTTTTCTTTTGGATTCAAAGCCAAGGAAATTTTTTTGTTGTTCATTTGTTTGTTTTTGTTTGTTTGTTTTTAACTAGGTAGATTAAACCATGAATTTAAAAAAATGGCTAAAGATGAAAGACAAGCACTTTGAGTTATGGAGGACACTAAAAATGATGTTTCCTACAGTGCAAGGGCTTCCTGCCACTGTAGTTACTTCTAGGATGAACCTAAAAAGTTCTTTGGCATATTTTTCTTCGCTAGCCACTTTTTTCTTCTATCATTTTTTTCTCTTTCTCTTTTCTACTTAATGTCTAGAGGTCTGGTTAGTTTCCAAAGCAAGAGCACTTTATGAATTCTAAGAGCGATTTGTAGGTATAACAGAAAATGACTTTTTTAACCTACCAGTTCTATACCAAAAATACTAGTATGAACTTTCATGCAATATCATTCATATTGAAAATACAGACGATTTAAATTCCTTTGCATTTTTCAGGGTTCTCAGTCGTAATCCTCTGACAATTGTTGAAGATTCATATCTTTATAGATTGCCAGCATTAAGATATCTGTAAGTATTGCAGTAACCTCATGAATCATGACATGATTTCTGTACTTTGTTATACTTTCATCAAAGATTAAGTGTTTTTCATTTAGTACATAAAGTCATCATTTTAACTGAGCTATTTAAAAAACAGTTACTGGCAAAGAAAAGGATTAAAAAAGGATATTTGGGACCAGCAGATGGCATAATGACACTGTTGCTGGACTCCCAAGTAGCCGACTGCAGTTTGAGCCCTGGACCTGGTGGCTTAAACTCATGCCGGGCATGTGCGCATGCGGGCCCAAGATCCTGAGAGGAGAATGTATTAGTAAGAATTGTAGTGTGGCCATCCTCCTGGGGGGTGATTTCTGGCTTTTTGTCTCTTTGTCTCTGTCTGTATTTGTGGAGAGCAAATGTGCCCTATAGTAAAAAACTCTCCAAAAAGAGAGCAAGAGAGAGGGGGGAAAGTGAGAAAGCAAACTGCCAGGCCTGGGACTTGAACCACGGTTGGCCATGTGGGAGTCCAGCATTCTTAACCACCACGCCACCTTCCTGCCCCAAGTGTACATTATTTTAAAAAGAAACAAAAAGTTATCAAAAGACATGAAAGATAATGGTTTAAATAAAAATTCAACTATTCAATGCCAATTTCATTAATTTGATAATGCAGATAAACAAATTTCTTCCATAATAGCTTTCCAGGGACCAGCAGATGGTGCAATGGTGATGTCACTGGACTCCTATGTAGTGAACCCTTGTTCAAGTCCTGGACTTGACAGCTTAAAAAAAAAACTCACGCTGGGTGTGTGTGTGTGTGTGCCCAAAATTCTAAGAGGAGAATGGAGGACAAGGGATTGTGGTGTTGCCATCCCCCCTGGGGGGTGATTTCTCTCTGTTTCTCTGTCTCTCTGGTGAGCGCACACACCCTGTAGCAAAAATCTCTCTTATAAAAGGAAAAGCTTTCTAGAATTATCTTCTATGGCAAATAAACTTTTGAGCTAGTTTGTTTTATAGAGAAGTCAAAATTGAAGTAATATATAGTCCTTGAAATATCATTTTAAGTATAAAATTTTTGTATTGAATTCGTAACATGATGTTTGGACTTTTTCCTTCAGAGACATGGGAAGAACACAGGTGTCACTTACAATAGTTGAGAACATCCTCATGACAAGTCTTGAATTGGGAAAACTGTAAGTTTTTTTTTTCTTGGACTTGTTTTATTTTATTGTTTTTAACTTTTGTTTTAGTATTTTTGTTAAGTTAGATTTATTGAGGTGTGATTTTTCACTTAATAAAATTTACCCTTTCCAAATGTCTATTTCAGTGAGGTTTGACAATTATAGTTATGTAACCACCATTCCTGATATAGAACACTTTTTGAGGGATTTTTCTGTAGGGCACATGTGCTTGCCGAAGAGACCGACAGAGACAGACAGAAAGCAAGAAATCACCACACAGCGGGGATAGCCAAGCCGCAATCTCTTCTCCTGTGTCCTCTCAGGATTTTGGACATGGACATGCATGCACCCAGTGTGAGTTTCAAGCTGCCAGGTCTGGGACTCAAACTGTGGTTGTCCACGTGGGAGTTCAGCGCATTAAACATCATGTCACCTGCTGTTCCTATACATAGAACAGTTTTGTCACCCAAAAAAGGCTCTCTCTCTCTCTCTTTTTTTATTTTTGCAGTCAATGCCTCCTCTCACCATCAGTCCCTGGCAACCACCAGTCTGATTTCTGTCCCTCTAATCTTGCCTTTTCCAGAATTTCTTATAAATGAAATCATGTAATATGTAGCCTTTTGTATTTTGTTTCTTTCGCTCAGGATAATTATTTTGACATAATTTCATTATTTATGTCTTTGTACCTATCAGAGTTCATTCCTTTCAATTGCTGTGTCATATTCCAGTTGTGTGGATAAACCATTTTGTTTATCTGGTCATTAGTTTATGGACATTTGGTTTATTTCCAGTTTTGGCTATTATGAATAAAGCTGCTAAGAACACTTACGTGTAGGTCTTTGTGTCAATGTTTATTTTCCTTTCTTTGGAGTAAATACATAAGGTTGAGATTGCTGGATTACACATGCTAAGAGCAAATTTAACGTAAGAAACTGCCAGACTGTTCCTTAAGAGGCTGTATCATTTTGCATTGCCATTAAGAGTGTTAATTGTGTCACATCTTCTCCTGATTCTTATGTTTAAACTAAAAAAAGAGTATTTTTTAGCTTTTCTAGTAGGTGCGAAGTATTGTGATTTTAATAGCTGATGATACTGCGTGTGCATATACGATACTAGTGTGTCTGAGTCTGGGACTTGAACCACGGTTGCTTTAACCACCATGCCACCTTCTGGTCCCACCAGTAATAAACTTTCAATCTTTTTTGTTTTAACCCAGATCCAGTCAAGGATCAGGCATTGTGTGCCATTTCTCTAGTGTAAAACATTTTCTGTGTCCAGCAGATGGCTTAATGGTTACATTGCTGGACTCTTATGTAGTCGACTGCAGTTTGAGTCCCGGACCTGGTGGCTTAAAACTCGCACAGGTCTTGTGTGCATGCGTACCCAGAATCTCAAGAGGAGAATGGAGGAGCAAGGATTATGGTGTGGCCATCCCCCCCAGGGAGTGATTCCCTGGGGAGTGATTTCTCACTTTCTGTCTCTTTGTCTCTGTCTCTCTAGCAAGCACATGTGCCCTATGACGAAAATCTTTCTCTTAAAAAAAAAGGCAAAACGTTTTCCTACTTTTTCTTTTTCTTCCATGATATTGGTACTTTTGAAGAGCCTAAAGCCGTTTGTCTTATAAATTGCCCCACATTCTGATTTGTCTATTTCCTCATGATTAGATTCAGGTTAATGTTTTTTGAAAAACCTCTATATAGGCGATGTATCCTTCCTCCCTCATGAGCTCATGTGGCTCATCATGCTAAATTTGATCACTTGAGTACAGTGGTATCTTCCAGATATCTCTATCATGAAGTTATTTTTCCCTTGGAAATTAATAAATAATCTGTGTGGTAATACTTTGAGATTAGTGAAGAGCCTATGCTCAAACATCTTTTCACCCAACTGTGAATCTGATAATTACTGTCTGAATCAATGATTACATCAGTTGTCACAAAATGGCAGTTTTCTATCATTTCCTCTACATTTGTTAGTTGACATTATTTTAGCAAAGAAAAGCTCCCTCCTCTTTTTTTGTAAATATCATTATTAATGTATATGGATTCTCTTTTACACTAATTATGTTGTATATTCTTTTGAATGCTCAAACTGTCCTACCAATATATCTCTGTTAACCACACAATTTGGATTAAACTAAGCTGCCTTTTTTTTTTTTCAATTGCCAGAGGATACATTCACTCATTCGAGAAAGACAGAGACAGAGAAAGAGTCAGAGAGAGGGAAAAAAACACCTCCCAGTGGTGTGATCATGGTGTAATTCTTCACTTCCATTTCTCCATCCTGTTGGGATTTGGCATACACATGCACATGAGTGCGGTATTTTTTTTTTTTTTTTTT